TTTTTGCTCTTTCAGATGAGTATATTTTGAAATATTTTTCTCAAGTGCCTCTGGTACTTGATTTTGGAGCACTTCGATTTTTTGTAAAACTTTCTGAAAGTTTTTTCGAGGATTTTGATCTATACTGTTTTCGATAGAGAACTTCAAGGGCTATCGAAATCACTATTTAGATTTGATCTAGCTATTCGTCTTCATTGAAAAACCTCAACGACAAAAGGGGGTCTATAATTTTGATAAGCCCTGTACATACAAATTTTTACAGAATGAATATAAAGAAATCAAAAGTATCTTCAAAACATAATAAATATTTTTTTCAGTAGATTATTTAAAATACTATCTACAAGAGATTTTCTAATCATTATTTCATAACTATCAAGTATCGATCACTCCATTAGACACATAAGCGATGTATAACCTTAAATATATTTACAGAATATTTAACTTTATGAACAATAAGAATAATCTTAAAATAACTATTTTATTTCATTTTAGGATGTTCATAATGATTTTCATTCTGAACCAAATGGTCAATCATTAAAAAATAGTAAATTACTTTGAATTTCTCGAAATTCTTTATTTTAAACATATTATCATAGATGATATTATCACACCAATTAATTCAACTAATCTTGGTCACCAATTATTAGAAAAAATCGGTTGGATACCTGGTAATGGTCTTGGTGTAAATCAAAATGGAATAAAAATACCTATTGAAGTTAATATTCGTAATCGTCGACAAGGTTTAGGTTATGAAAAACAAATCGATAGATATCAATAAATGTTTTCTTAATCATCTTTTTCAGATTTAATTGTTATCTTGTTTTTGTTTTTTTTTATTTTTATAATTAAATAAAACATTTACTTGTTAAACTTAGAATTTACCAAAAGTATAGCAAACTGTTTATCCATACGTATTATTTGAGCTGTTATACATATTCTTTCTTATAGAAGTACATTTACAAGTCACAACAAAGATCATCGAAAGACTAATACATGCTCACAAAAGATAGTGATACCTACAATCCAGAAAATGATAATTCAAAGAATTCAATAGATTTATATATGAACAAAAGTCATTTGTTAACAATCTCTAATCAAAATTTTTTCTGTTCATGCTTAGATTTTTCATAATTTCAAACTGTAGAAATTCTTCTTTAGATGATGATAAGACAACAGTTGTTGTTTCGAGACTTTACAGGATATATCTAGAAAATCGTTTTTTTCAGAGGGAGATTTTTGAATTCGATCTTGATGAAAATTTCATTATAAATTCGGCTCGAAGCATAGAGTCTATTCTGAAGTTTTTGAATTTTTTTTCTCGTATAATTAGAGAGATATTTACTAATTTCATTTTTAATTCATAATCAGTTTGAAAAGTTTTACAAATGTCTATGTTAAAAGAACTTATAATCCAATCAGAGGTGATAATGTCATATTTTGCTTGAAATGGTCCATATATACATGTCTATAGAATTCTTTGAATAGACAATTATTAGATCGTGAAGATGTCTCGAAAAAGAGAAAAAAAAATATGAATAGAACTATTAAATAAATGTAAAGAATTTATCATTGATGTACTGTAAATAAATTGAATAAATATTTTATCAATAGAAATTTATCATTGTTTTAGAAACGTTGTTTTTGTATCAAAGTAGATGGATCATTGTATACATTATTATGTTCATGAATATTATAAATAATTGTATTTTCAATAGGTTGACCAATTTTTGTTGCATAGTTTTGATCTATTGGATTTTTATGTGTTATTGTTGACGGTAACTTTTCTAATCTTCGATTTGAAGAAGAATTATTTTGAGATGTAACATAAGTAGTTATAATAGGACTCAATTTTTTCTCTTGTGGTGGTTCTGATGATACAACACCATCGATATCATCTGAATATATGGATATACCAGAATAAGGTCGTTCAGAAGCAACTTTACTAGTATTTCCTCGACTAATACGACGTATTGTATGATATAATGAACTGCGCATTGAACTCCATTTAGCTGTATTCCAAATTTCAGATACACCAATTTTTGTCCAATAAAAATGAACAAGAAATGCACCAACACCGAGTAGGACTAGCAATGAATAAAAAAAAAAAATTTTTCTTTTGTTTTTTTTTGAATATTGGAATAAATAAATCAAACCTAATACAACCACTAGAGCAATAATAACAATAATATCTGTGGTTAAAAAACTTTCTGTCATTGAAATTTTGTTTTTTGTTTTATAAAAAAATCGATTGTAATTACACCTAAGAAAAAATAATGATCTTTATTATGATTAAAAAACATTTGAAATATTAAATTTTACTTTGTAGATTTGAAATTGTTTAGATAAAGGCAAACGCTTACGTACTAAATAACTTGAATTGTTGACGAATAAATATCTTGAGCATTAGTGAAAATTAACAAACTAAAATAAACTTAAAAGTAAAATTTAAGCTGATGACAATGCAGATAATTATATTAGAATGGTTTTTACTTTCAAAATTAAATCAACAATTATTAACATGAAATATTTTCTAAAAATGCACAAAAACTATTATTTAGGCAAATATCAAACCTAAATCTGGACTCAACTATCATAACCAATCTTGAAATCATTTCTTTTTTGAACTTACTTTCTACTTCTTTTTATTAATTAACTGGAAATAACCGTAGTCGTGACAAAACCTAAACGTTCGAGTTTGATGTATGTTTACTACTAATAAAGTCTAGTTGAAAAAAAAAAGTGACTTTTTGAATACTTGAAATTCCTAAGAAGCATGCGCATCAGTGTTGTTTGAAATGTCAAAGTAATCTAGGAAATGATTAGAACTAAATTAATTGAAATCTTGTTCAGATTATTCTATTTTGGTGATCTACTACGCATGCCTTGTGAAAAAAAATCTTACGATTAATTCATGCCCCAGCATTTATCATGGTTCAATTGTGTAATGATGATACTGAGATAACCCTATATTCTTTAAATATCAGCAAATGTAAGTAGTGTAAAACCTGAAAGTTAAATTCAATTATTGAAGACCTTTTCACATATTAACATATTCAATTTAGAAATATGACTTGTCTTAGTTATATAAGAGAAGAAAAAAAACAATATTTTATAATCTAACATGGTTTCTATTATACTGTGTATTCTTGTATTCTATTCTAAACATTTTATTATCGAGTTTTTCCTTATGGTATATATTTATAGGCTTATCTTCGAATGATTTACAGCTATTTATAATAGACTTGCAATTATCATTTTGTCTTTTTAATTTATGCTAAACACAGATGCTATGAAAGATTTGTATATTTATTCAATTGATAATAAAAAATATTCGTCTTTTTTTCTTCTTTTATGACTGTTCTTTCTATCACAGATTGTGTCAACAAGCATATTAAAATCTTCGATAACATGCACGCTGTATGACTTTCTAATATATTTGTATAACATACGTGAGTGAATTAGAAAGAGCAGATAAACTTTATAGTTTAGGAATTGTGTATGAAAAAAATCGTAAGTTTCAGGAATAGAAGAATATTATTATATAAGTAAAAACTCATTCAAAGAAGAGGATAAATCTTATATAGAAAAAAATAAACAATGTTTTTTTTTTGGTTTAAAATTAATTCTATAATAGAAAGCAAGTAATCAGTTAGAATGCTCTATGCTTTGTAATATCATTAAAATAAGTTTTTTGCCTTTTACTTTTTCTTCTTCTACGTCTATTTATAAATTAAACAAAAATATTTTCTAACGATATACAAGATTGGTTTATAAAAGTATATTAGTAAAATTGTTATTTAGGAAAAAAAAAGCAAACATTTCCGAAATTTTAGTAAATACATTATTCGATATACTAATAGTAATGATATTCATTTTTGTCAATGATACTTAAGAACAGAAGGAGCGACTATGTTACAAGAGACAAAAAAATAGGACGTGTTAAGTTCTAAAAGCCTCAAGGCTAAATAAACAAAAAAAATAACTGATTAAGTCTGCAGGTGACGCAGCCAAACAATTGGCATATCGAACACAAGGCTACGAAAATATACTAATGAAAAATTTTTTTCAAAATATTATTCATATTGTCGTTTGTGATCCATAGAAAATAATTTGTAATCCTTTCTTACCTTTAGCTTTTCCTTTTTTATAGATTACAAATGTTTGAATCTATGTATAATACTATCATTTTTGTTGTCATTGTGATATTTAATGTTGATTAATTGTTGCTTGCGTTTATCGTTTCCTATGCTTGTTGCCAGTACTGTTGTCGTCCGACGTGCCGTTTATGCTGTAGTTGTTCTTCTTTTGAAATAATAGATGACAAAGAAAAAAAAAAAAAAGAAGAAAAGAAATAATATATATTATGTTGAAGACGGAAATAAAATGTCGAGTTATTTTTTACAGAAAATATTAACAGGAAGAAAAATGAGCAGTGATATGATGTTTTTTATTTTTGCAAGAATAAGACAAAAACAATGAAGACATGCATTGAAAACTTTTTATCGATAAGTTTTATTTTTGACGAAAATACGATTACTGCTTATCGATCTCGGATTTTTTTTTGCTTTCTGTATAAATATGGCATAGTTAAAGACTCAAGGTCGTTGCATTATGAAGAATATTTTTTTATTTTTGTTTTGTATTTACCTCAAACCAACAAACTATTTTTGGTTCATTAAGTCATTTTATATGCTGCAGAATACCAAAAATGTTTTCATGTTTTCATTTTTTTTTACTATATATTAACTGTGAATAATATGTCAACATGTATTATTCAGGTGTGTCATGCTTGTTCTTTGTTTTTGAATCAACTAAAGAGTATAGTCATGAAATGAAACGATTCGATTAATGCTTTCTCTTTTTTATACGGTGATAACATTTCACAATTTGAGTAAAATTGTTTTTGTAGTGAAACTTAGGAACACTACGTTAGAAAAAAAAATAGAAAAGTCTAACGTTATGCATAATTTTTGAAAAATATTGTTTGATTATTGAGAAAATTGATTTATTTTCACATGATAGAAAAACGCTATAAATACAGGTTTAATGGTCAAAATCTTAGAATATAAGCTCGTAATTATGATGTTTTGCTTAATATAAAAATAAAACGATTATCTCAACAATTAAACTTTACTTCTCAAAAATCATGCATATTTGTTTTTCTAATAATATGACGAGTAATATCAGAGAAGAATTCGAATAAATATCGAGACTTGATACTTTAAGCGTATTTCAATATCTATAGGCTTTCCTCATTTCTTTTTAACATCGAGGTCGTAAGTTCGACTACAAAAAAAAAACACCAAAAAACATTTTTGCTTAAGTTTGAAATTGGCAGCAACTTATTAACAAAAGAACAGGTAGCATGCAACAATTTTATGCTCATATACGCTTTTAGATCAATAACATTCAATCAAATAACTTAATAAGAATTAAAGAAATTTCATTTCAAAATAAATTTTTTTCTCAAACATAATTCATTAAGAGAAAAAATATTTAACTAAGAAAGACTAGAATGAAATATATAATTTTTAAAAATATTCTCTTTTTAATTAAGTGAATAGATCAATGAGACAATGTTCTCAGAGATGAAACTAGTCTAAAATTCGTGCTAGTATTAATTTCATTTCAGAAATCATTCAGCTAGTTGAGCAATATAAATTTTATAAATGAAAAACTATTTAATTTATCCACCCTTTTGTACAAACTGATAGGGTTAAATTCGACAATTATTTCTAATGAGGAGAGAAAAAAGAAACGGTATCGATTCAATTTTCGAATTTTATAATTTAATCATGTGAATATTTGGAATAAGAAATCTTGGAAGAGAAAACTAAATTTTGTTTTGATAGAAAAGCTCGTCTCTCTAGTGCATTAAGTAAATATTTTTCTTATATTATTACATCTTATCTTACAAAGAATATACCAGTTTAAATATATTTTTTTATATTTTAATATGCACGACTATAAACGGGAGATCAATAGACCATAAAATTTTTAAAATTACTTTTTCTTTTTTTATAAAGAAAAACATACTAAAGCAAATAACAACGCTAAGTAGTCCTTATTTTCTAGATACGGAAATCATTTTATTTACTTTCATATATATATTATGCTTTACTTTATTACCGATAAAATTTCATTTTATAATGCTCAAAGAAAAAAAAAACAAAGGAATTGAAAAATAAAATATTCTTTTGCTCATTCAATAGTTTATAAAGTAACAAATAAAATTTCGAAGACTATACAACTAACTTACAGATCTGCAACATTACCTCAATTATGATTTTCACGAAGTTATGAGGGAAGGCCCTCAAGTGTGACTCGCCAATCGAATTGATATTTTACCCATAAAGAGGCCTTGGCAAGGCTAGTAGACATCTATAAGTGTTAGTCACCTCGGGCTGTTCTTTCTAAGCTATTACAATTTTACTGAATGTTTTATTGCAGACATGATATTTGTGAAATAATAGAAATACTAACATTTTAATTTGAAACTTCGCCCATAGGCAGGTCTCGTGAACATTGAGAATGTCCTGAAAATTTTAGCCTAAGAAAATGTATTGTTTTTAAGATATCGACTGTTAAAAAGTATTGAGTTTTTTCTAAACTTTTCTTGCGACACATGATTGGTTTTTGAAAAATTCAATATCTCACGAAGAACACATATTTTTAGCCTGCAAATTTTCATGGCATTCTAATGTTTATAAGACCCATCTATATGCAACATTTTAGGTTAAAATTTTACATTTCGATTTTGTCAGAAATCTCTTACGTGAAATAAGAAAAAACTATGTAAAATTGTAATAACTTGAGGAGAATAGCGAATGAGGACTAACATTTATAGGCTTCTACTAGACGACTGATCGGAGCCTCCTTATGGCCAATCACACTTGTTGAAATTTATCCTATAAAAGTTAGCACGATTAAATTTCTCATATCTGAGACTATGATTCAAACAGACAGATCCATAATTCTTCTTTATCGTATAGTCTACATTGTATTTCTCAAATATATTATCCAATTGACATGAAAACTGAGTGAAAATAATTTTTAAAAAATTTCTTTAATAGCATATGAACAAATTCAAGTATCTGAACTATCGATAATCCATGATTTTTATCTTCATGTAGACAACTCCAAAACATGCTGAAACATCAAAGTGAAATAGTTATTATGAACAAATTCGAAATAATAAAATAGTAAATCTTATAAATTCGAGAAAAACCTAATATCTATCTTGTTTTTGACTATTTATTAACTACTCAACTTTTGTAATACAATATTATCCCGAACAAAATTTTTTTTCCAATAAATATTTATCAATCGGATCGAGTTTTATTTGGTCAACAAAAAAAAAAAAATTCTCATTTCATTTATTATTATAACTTTATCAATAAACTTCTTTTTTTGTCGAAAATTAGAATGACTCTAAGCAGCAATTTCCTTAAATTAAACTCAAACTATCGAATCGATCTTTGCAATTGATTGTTACTACTTTTCTTTGCTTTGTTGCTAATGCATTTTTCTTTTTTTTTGAATTCAAACAAAAAAGAAATAGAATAACAGTTAATGTTCTTCCAGCCACAAAAACAAGTTTCTGACTGTGTGCTTTGCTAAAAAAAAAAGAAAGAAAAGTGAAAAGAAGAGAAAAAAAAGAAAAAAACATTTGCCACACGTCACAATCAAACATCTAAAGAAGTCAATGACATGTCAGAACACGAGTCAGACGTCCTGTTGTTTCATTCAATAAATTCAAATATACAAACGAAGATTCATCAAACAAAAATTTTCTTAAAACTTTTATCTAATGGTCATATATCTGTTGATTGGAATGATTTACCAAAACATCGAAATACTCGGCAATGTGTTATACATTATAAAAGTTTAAATAATAATCGAGTAAAGTATTGTTTGTTTGTTGATTTTTTTTTCTATTGTAATTTTGAAAATATTCTTTTTATTAGAGTCATGCTATACGTGTATCACGTCAAAAACGAAATGTTATTTTAGAAAAAATAGAATCAGGTCATTTATATGAAATACATGTATGTACTGTTGATGAATCAAATCGAATAATAGCTTCGAGTGAACATGCACAAATACAAACTCTAATATTGAATGAAGCACCAACACTTCGTGTGACGTATGTTTGAAGAAAATTTTTGTAGAAAAAATTTGAATTTTATTTTATAGTAAATCAACACCAGATTTTATTATACTTGAATGGGAAAAATCGAATGATGTTAAATTATCTGATATTGAATCATATAAATTAATAATAAATGGTGAATCTAAAGCTATGTTACCATCAACAGATAATAAATTTGTTGTTAATGATGGTGAATTTGGAAAACGATATATTTTTCGATTAGAAGTAAGACAAGATTATATAGAATAAATTTTATTTTATTTTTTTTTATTTTTTATAAAAAAAAAAAGATGAATCGAAAAGATAAGAAAGTAATTCCATCATTTCCAGTTCGTGTTCATTGGCCAGGAGTGACCATACCTAGACTTCATGCTTTTGTAAATGGTACTGAAGAATTGATTATTTGTTGGGGAGATTCAAAATCAATCAATGATGGAAATATTGAATCTTATACGGTTTATTTTGTTTCGTTTTTTATTAAATATTCAACAATGAATTTCGTTCTTAATTCTTTGTTTTTCTTCAAATAGCTTCATTTATATGATTCTGAAGGTCGTTTATTAAATCAGATTGGTCCAAATTCTGCTGAATGTCGTCAAGTATGGATAAAAGATATGATACAAGGTGTTTATTTTTATGTTCTGGAAATAAAACTTGTCAATTCAAAAAAATCTATTTATTCAAAACCTATGAAAATTGAATGTGGAAGAGAATCTCACATGCCAATATTAATATGTAATTATAGTGATGAAAATAATCAAAAAGAATTAATTAATATGGCTTATCATTTAATTAATATTCGAGATAAGTAAGAATAATAATAACTCGATAAAATGATTCAAAAAATTTTTGTTTTTATTCTTAGTATGAAATCAAAACGTTTACTTGAAAAATGTGAAAATCAACTTAAACAAATACTTTTAACTTTAAATAATTTAACAGGTTTTTTTTTTCTTCTGTTAAAATTAATATATTATTTTTATTTTTCTGAAGATTCTATTCATCTTAATTTAACTATTGAATCAAAATTAAATAATAATATTCCAAAAAGTTATTATTTAATTATTGATGGTCGAGAAAATCCAGTAGCTATACCGTCTTTTGTCAAAGATTTTCCATTAGAAGTCAGATTAAAATTTGTTTCTATTTTAAATTGAATAATAATATTCTTTTTTCAATTCATTTTATTTTGTCTAGTTACCTCGACGTGATGAACCTTATACATTAGCTGTTTCAGTAGCACCAGCTTTATATGGAACAACATCAAAGACAGTTCTTGTTGAAGCATCTGATCATTTCTCATTCTTTTGTACTCATTTTCATCAACAATCATCTATTGAAAAGTAATGTCATAGAAGGGTGTAATTAGATAAATCATACTGACGAGGGAAGGTCCCCAACTGATCAATCGCTTTTGCGTTGAGACTATGTGTATTATATAGGTACAAAAGAGTTATGAATACCCTGAAAAAAGTTCGGGCTGCTAACTTATTGCTACGGAGATACTGCACTTTTACGGTATGTTTCTAAATGAAAGCTGTGGTCCCCCTCCGGAACACCGAAAAAAATTATTTTCGAATTTCGACTTGGGAACTTTACATATAAACAGATCTTACCGAGAATAGTATTTTATCAAAGTTTCAGATTTTTTTGCTGTTGTTATCGGTAGATACAACTATGATAATGTTATTCAGATAAACCAAAAGATTTGATGTTATCATTTCAGAATAAGAACAAATAGAAAGACCTAAAAG